CAAAATACGAAAGAACAGAATTAATTCCTATGCTCAACTCCACGGAGGTAAAGCAATCATGAATCCACATTAACCAGACAATTTTAGTTTGAACAATTCTGACAGAATCTTCCAAAATTGAGATGGTAAACAATTCTCCCCAAAAGGAAAACATTATACAAACCTTGTTTTGTGCACACCACTTTGTACTTCTAAATGTCAATGCAACATAACTATCTTAATTTCAGTATTGAACGTCCTGAGAATACGAAATTCTTCTTGAGATTCCAAGTACCCCTTAAATATTTCTCAAAGTGTGAGGAGTGCAGTAATTTTAAAATTATAATTATTTTGATATGTTGCATTAAAGTGACTAGTTATTGGATTTAAAATGGCTTTTATATGAATTAGGTTTTTTATTCTTCTATGGAAAATGTGGAATCAATCAAACAACTGTGCAGTAATCTCTATGTTCCATCAGCCTTAGGGACAAGTAGAATTGTTTGCTTAAATTATTTCAAGAAGAAATATTAAACTTATATTTCACATTAATGAGTCTTTACTCAATAGTTCCATTCATTATTATAGGCTGATCATTGTTTTGTGTTTTGATGGGGGCCTTTTACACATTTGGACATGGTATCTGACATTTCACATTTGGACATGGTATCCCAATCGCTGAATGTGAGACATTCTCTATCTACCGCCCATAACCCAGAAATTTGACTAATAAACTATAAAACAAATTGTGATTTATTAAGTCTATTAAAACAAGAACCTGACTCCTTAAAGGAATGGGGAATTTAAAACAGCAGCAGGAAAAGCATACACATATCTAGAGGCTTCAGGAGGACAGATGGGTATATTTTCCTGTTCTCTCCCATGGTAGATTTTCAATTACAGCATGCTTTGGCTACATTTTCAGTTTTCCCTTTCACTGATACAAGTTATATTTCTCTTTTGAGCTATGAGCAGCGGTGGGGAGCTCCTTAGAGAGATCCTGTCAACTTCTACACTACATTTCCAACTGAAAATTATGTTTTTGCTATTATAATAAGCACCACAGAAGATCATCACAACTCAAACAGAGATCTCTTTGTTTTCCAGTTTGTTTACCTTGTTAATGCGTGTATAGTTAGCTTCCTGGATTTGTCATTGGGCCAGTGTCCAACTGAACAGACATCAGGTAGGCACATGCACACTCAAATGTAAGGAGAGATGGCCCTAGATGTGTTGGATATTGCTCCCAGGACTACCCAGTGATCCTTATAAAACACAACAGTAAGCAGGAAAAGGCCCCAAATTATTATTTTTATTTATGTAAAGTATTAGCTAAAACATCAGGACAAACTGTTCAAAATATACCCTCTCTGAAAACGTGAGATTATCCCTTTGACTTGTGTCCATTGCTCATCTTCCACAATCTGCTGCAAAAAGCTATTATATTGCTCAATCTTATACAAAAAAAAACCCAGAGAAATTCCCATTAGTCTTGGAATCCTTACTTAGCAGAAGATAGTTGCATATTCCCAAGCTACACTAACGGATGCAAGCATGGCTTTTCAACAGTCCATAAATATATATGTATATTAAAGAGTTGAAGATTACCAACTCTTGCATCCATATTGGTTTGAATTACTGACCTCAAACAATTGGGGTCTTTCTCTCTCATACACACAAAGGTAACTGACAAAAATTTAGATATAGTATATTATAGATATGGACCTAAACCAAAATTGGATTATCTGAATGCCTGTGAACTTAACATATAGATCAGAACAAAGTGGTTTGGGTACTATCCAACATATATCCATGGCCTGGTTACAGGAGTAGGACAAATTGTTGTAAATTTACAAGAAGGAATAACTATTTTTAAAACCTACTACATTTTCGTTCTGTTTTATTTAATAATAATCATAATTATAGAAATGCATAATTGGATGCAATGGGATGCAGTTTAATTTAAAAACCTCAGTTGCAGAAAATAACCCTTCCTGTGTGAAAATGCTGCTTATTGTTCATAATGTCAATTTTCAAATTAAAATTCTAAATATTTAATGTGTAATGAAATTTTGGGCATCAGTTTTCTTTATTTTGCAGAGATGCTCAAATAACATCAATGTGAGAGAATATTCTGATTTATTTTGTCTTCAATTCCTTCAATCAATGAAAAATGGATCCTGATGTCAAAACTGTAAGTAGTCCCAAACATTTTGTGCTGGTTTGCTTCATGACATAAGCCATAACAGTGCCTTCTTCTCAATTGCACTTGGAGTTACTTATTACCTGCAGGGTGTGTACATCAGAGGTAGTGAAAGGAGGCTTTTTGATAAAGCAGCACTGGAGTGAGGGTGAACAGGACTTGCTGCACCTGTAGGAAAAATGTATTTAGCTCCCCTGATATTTTTTTCCTGCTGCTGTTTCTCACTGTAGAGGTAGTCGAGGCCATGTTCTATTCCAGACACATTCCTTCTAAGCCCAGCTAGTATTACAGGCCTTGAGCACAAAGCAAAAATATGGCTGCTTTCTCCATGAGCATATAGGGGAAAGAGATTCCAGACTACCCTCCTTCCAAGGGACTATGGAGAGCTATGGTTTGACCATACTTGTAAGTTTGTTAACATAAAGGCAAACTAACTATAAGCTTTGAGTTAATCCCCGCCCCTCCCAAACACAAACTGCTAAATGTGATGTTTGACAGCTCTATTTCACAGCAAAGCATGACACTAATTTAACAAGTTCTGATCTGCAAACTAAGTGTGCTAGATTCATTTTCAGCTATTAAGCTGCAAAAAGACACCCTGTGGTCCTTCTTCAAACAATCCACAGTTAAAATGGAATTTGGTGTTCACAAAATTTACATCAAGTCTGATGTAATCTACCACTCTGACTTTTCCAACAGGTTGTGGGGCTATTCCTGAAGCAGCCCAAAAAAGACAACTTTGACTAGAGCAGTCACAATTGCCTTCTCTTCACTCCATCGCTCCTGGAAAGGGGTAAATTGTGCCAGATCTATAACAGCAGCACCATATGCTCCCCGATGTGCCACTATAATTAGACAGACAAAATTCACATTTTTCCTAATTACCACTTCTTCCACACTCAAAATTTCCCCCTGCTGCCAGGAAGCAGTGATAGTCAAACACAAACACAAGAGAACACGTTAAGCCCACTCTGGTCTTTTCAGCCAGCACATAGGATGGGCCACAATCTTCCCCTTCCATTATAATAATAATAATAAATGTACTGCTTTAACATGGCAGATTATCAAAATGTTTTGCCTGAAGCCTCCAAGGATTCTAAAACTTAGGTTGCCTCTCAGAAAATAACTTAAAACCCAGTACTAACCATGAGCAAGACTTAAAAGTCTGCATTCATAACAACTGATGCACCTTACTGAACACTGGGGATTAAAAATAAAGAAGTAGCTCTCTCAAGAAATTGGATGTTATAATCCTTAGAAATGAAAACTAAAATTCCTTAATAAGCAAAGAATCTTTATCTAACCAAGACACATGAAGCATTCCGTAGACTAAAGATGTCACACAGTTGTATCTTCGACTAAATTAAATGGGATTTCTACCTGTGCAAGGAACACCAGATCAGATCACAGGACCCTTTTTGCCCCTCTAGACATTTTACCCAACAGAGGCAAGAGCAGGGATGAGGATCTCAAACCCGAGTAAGTTTCAAAGCCCAAAATCTAGCATTGCCTCCATCCAAATCACATCATTTATGTGAAAGCTTTTTAGAATTCCCATAAGACTACTTTATAAACAGGATTTCATTATTTTTCCTGTCACGGGAGAGGATTCTGCTGTCACTATTCTTTTTCCAATGTTTTCCTAACTGGGAGAGGGAAAGCCATTGTCTGAGCACCCAAGAATAGCCATCAGACCTAGCCACCAAAGAGCAGGGGTCAGCTTAGCAATGGGTCTACATTGTCATTGTAAATCAGGGGCTGGCAAACTTCAGTTGCCATCCCATCAGGGTAAGCCGCTGGCATGCTGGGACATTTTGTTTACCTGAAATGCCCACAGGCATGGAGCCCCACAGCTCCCAGTGACAGTGATTTGCCATTCCAAGCCAATGGGAGCTGTGGGGGAGGAGGGCAGTGCAGGTTGAGGGACATGTTAGTTGCCACTTCTGGACACTCCGATTGGCCAGGACTGGTGAATTACAGACACTGAAAGCTGCAGGGCTACATGCCTGCAGCAGCTCCTGGTAAACAAAACATCCCCTTGTGCTGGTGGCTTAATCTGACAAGCTGGGAACTGAAGTTTGCCAACCACTGAAAAATGTGGGGCGTTTATGAAAGGAACATACCAGTTTGCCATTTTTATCTATTGTTCTCAGAGGTTGGGGGAGTCAGTTTATATGAGAATGGGCTAATTAACCAATAGATAGAGTAACTTACAAAATATTTTATATTGAAATGCTTAATATGTAATCTCAGCTATGCCAAGTATAGATTAGATTTACAGATAAATAATTTAATTCAATAAAACAGATTTCTTCATTTCATTTAAAAGAAATAATTATGTAATTGCCTCTTCTCTCACCCAATAGACTAAGAAACAGTGCAAGAACTGCTAAAGTTCCCAGACATATTGTTAGAAACATGAAGATTTTGCAAAAGTGGATAAGCAAAGAAACAAAATACTATCTAGGTTTTTTTAATTAATTCTACTACTTTAAAATTCCTTGTTTATGTGAAAAGGTAGAAAAAAGGATTTAGATAAGTCGTATAGTGGAAGATGTATACATACCACAGGGAGTGGCAAAATGTAATACAGTTTGTAGAAATCTTAAGATGAAGATTTGAGGATGGGCTAATGAAAAGCTTGCATACTGAAGTAGTTGACAGAAGAGGCCCAGAGGGACAAAATTAAAAAAAAGCAATTGGATGTTTGGTAGCTCTTACATTCATTTTTGTTTTTTTCTTAAATGTATTTAAACCATGCTCATTAAAAGAGAACACGAACACCATCAGTCACATGAATACTGCATTTGCTTTGTACCTTGGAAGACCGAAAACAAAATGCTGTAGATTTCACATCAGCTTTCTCTTTGTCCATAAGAAGAAGACTCTTGTCATCCATGAGACTTAAATATTTCCCTGTCGTTATATGCCTTAATCTGAATGGCTGTCCCCATCTAATGTGGCTTCCACTCCACCTAAAAAGGCAAATTCAAAGAAGACTTCTTAAACAAAACATTTAAAAATTAATTTCCAGACCAAACAAAGCTATTGAAAGATTCATTAATATTCAGATTAGTTGCAAGATCATTTTCATGTATTGGCACACAATGTCCAACATCATCCTTCATCTGATGTGGTATCAGTCAAATGACTACAATACACTTATGTTTAAATTAACAAGTTAATAAAAAGCATCATGACAACAGAAAAAGGTAAATAAATTTTTTTCAGTTCCAAAGAAGTGGAGACGAGGGGCTTTGAAGAAAACTAAGAATACTCTCAGTACAGTTTATCAGCTTTTTAAAAACCCTTTCAGTAGTAGAAAATATTACTTCTTTGAAGTGTATTTTCTGCACTAGCACTAGGCAATACTATCTGAATGGCTTGAAACCTGCATATGCAGTGCCTTTCCCCTGTGACATTCTACCATAGATCAAGAGTAGTTCTCTCAGGTATAATGGAAGGGAGAGATCAATGGAATACTTGAGGAAAAGGTTAGCCTCCTATGGCTTTAAAAAAATTTCAGATGTTGCAGAAATGGCTGCTGACAGAAAAACAGAAACACTCCACAGAGGAATTTAAATATAGGATTTTACAAACTCATTGCATCCAGGAGAGGAGAGCTCTGCTCCAAAGTATGAGTGAAGTTCCTCACTTCAACTTTTTATCCACTTGTAGCTATGCTCACCTAAATTCTCAGAGTACTCCTCTGCTCATCTGTCTGGGCTCTCATCTAGAGTGTTCACAAAATAATTATTAAACCAATCAACAAGATCCTGCCCAAATTCTTCACATTCTTCATGAGAAAAAAGAGAATTATAAGGGAATGTTTCCACCCTGGATTTCTATTAACAGTGAACTTCAAAGGGAGGCACCCAAATAGTGATGTGAGGTGAGGATATTCTCCGAGAACGAGAATATTCTGAGAATATTCTCCAAAAGATGATTTCCTGAGAATATTTGAGAATTTTCTAATTTTTCATTTCCTCTTGGAATAATATATTGTATTCAATTTTTAGAACACCCTGAATGTTAAAGAGCTTTCTTGATAATTCAGGGTAGTTTGAGAACGTTATAGAATGTTCCAGAATGTTATGGAACTTTCTAGAACATTCATGAGTCAGGAATTCTGACTGTTATGGAACTTTCTGGAAGCATCACAAAAAGCATATAAAGAGGCAATAACACATTTATTCTCTTTTGTGAAAGGTGTAATTGTGTTTTCATCAGTATGAAAAGAAGAACTAAGCCTAAAAGCGATGTGTGGGATTATTTCCTTCATAAAACAGTTAAAGACAAAGTGTTATATGAATGTAAGTACTGCAAGGCTGAATACATCAGAAATGCGACAAGGATGAGAAAGCATATTTCCAATTGTTTGAAGACTCCTACTCCTGCTTACATCAAGGCAAAGGCAACAAAATTCTCAAAATTCTTATGAGTCCAGAAGCAGATCACCTCAACCATCAACTGCATCAACATCTATAGAACACTGTGATAGTGCTAGTGAATTTACATCACCACCTTCCACATCTAATTCAGCCAAGGTGTCTCACTCTGTAAGTCGCTACTTTGATTCTATGAATGAAACTGAAAACAAAGGTTTGGATGAATATTTTGCACGACCTATATTCTCATCGGAATCACCTCTTTCACTGGTTGAAAATGAAGACTGGATTACTTTCATGCAAAAATTAAGACCATCTTGCAAGATGCCATCCAGGTACACACTTTCTAACAATCTTTTGGAAGCTAAATATCCATGTGTTAATGCTCTTATAAAAACAAAAATTGCTGAAGCCTCTTCTCTTGCACTGCAGTGTGATGCTTGGAGCAACCGAAGAAATTAATGTTATAAATTTTATTGTATCAACACCCCAACCAGTGTTTTACAAGACAGTGGCAACCGATGTTGAACGACATACTGCTGAGTATATGGCATTCCATATAGAAGAAATAATGACAGAAATAGGCACTGAAAAATTTGGTGCCATTGTCACTTATAATGGTGCAGCACTGGTGAAATCCTTATCAATGCTTAACAAAAAATACAATCACATTGCTATGCACACTTGTGCTGCTCATAGACTAAATTTCTTAATTGGTGACATCAGTAACTTGAAATCTGTTCAAGAAACTGAAGCTACCTGTAAAACTATTGTGAAGGAAATTAACAAATTGCAAGTCTTACTAGCTCATTTTACGGCATTTCAAAAAGAGAAAAATCAAACTTGTGCACTTAAATTGCCAGTTAAAACTAGGTGGGGTCACTCAGCAAAAGTCATTGTAGAGCTTGCAGAGTATCCTGCTAAAGAAGGTTTTTTTTGGAAAATCATATGTAACAAAATCAGCTGGCTCAGTAGATGCAGTAACACGGTGGAAAGGTTTTTGCTATGGATCAAAATTAGGGAAAGCAGCGATCAACATACTGAATATGCCACCAACAACGGCAGCAACTGAAAGAAGTTTCACTACTTACAGTATCATTCATAATGCAAAAAGAAACAAGTTAACACAAGAAAGGGAAGGCAAGCTGATATTCATAGCCCATAATCTAAAACTTCTTAAAAACCCACATGATGCTTCGTTGAAATCCCCAATAGAAAAAAGGAAACAGAACCAGAGAAATGAAGAAGAAGAAAATGATGATGCTGAAGAGAAATAAGTTGTCGAAGAAAAGGATATGTATGAGGAAGAAGAAGAGATAGAAATATATGGGTCAGATTCAGAAAGTGCAGATTCTGATTATACTTGTATTCAGTCCAGAAATTTAAAAATATTTGTATCCTGTAATAAAAGTTCTAGTAATTTAAACCTCTATCTTTTTTTCTTTACTTTCCCGAATTTTCAGTTTAACAATTGGAAACTTTCATGTTTCTTGAAGTTTTATTTTAAAAGACTTTATTATTAATAGTAAAATTCTTTTAAAACTATTTAACAAGTGTTTAAGAGACAATTCTCAAAAATTCTCACATTGGAGAATATTCTCAAGAACATTCTCAAGAATATCCTCTGAAAGTTTATTCCTGAGAATTTAACCCAAAGTTCCAACTCCCTGCTTCAGACTCAGCCTTCTGAGAATTTCTCTCTTCTGTGCTCCACTAATTCATTTTAAAGTCAGACCTGTATGGGGATTACTACATTGAAGATCAATTTACTGTACTCCAGACATGATGAGATCCTCCTCCATCAATGCTCTCTCAGAGGAGTGCTCAAACTTTACTTGGACTGGAAGCTTGGGAGACAAGGAAGGTACCCGTCTCTGATATTTGACCCATAAATAAAGGTGCTTAAGCTGTTTCAAATAAAAATGGAGTATTATTTATTTGTATTGTGGTAGCATCTGGGAGCCTCAGTCATGGGCCAGGATCCTGTTGTGCCAGGCACGTACCTTCCTTCCCTCCTAAGCTTTAGCACAACAGACTCAAGCCCATAGGTTACTGTGGGCAAAACTATTATAAACTTCAGCAGCAGCTGCTTTATAAAAAAGATTCCTAACAGTCTGTTGTAACTTACAGAGAATGGCTATGGAATCAAAGCTATGCCATGCTTTAGGGCATTCTAAGCTAGTGAAGAGATTTTAAAAGATTACAAGAAGTCTTTTGGAGGGAAAATTCAAATCCAGGATCCCCTCAGCAGAGTCTGTGGGAGGAAGCTGGATAGCCAGATCACAAGTTCCATGTTGTAGTGGGGTAATTAAGAGGAAAAATGATTTTAGGAGAAAGGAGAAAAATGGGAAAAGGAAGAAGGACTGGGGAACAGAAATGGGTTGGTGACAGAGCATCAATGTAAAAAAAAAGGGTATGGGTTCTTTTTTGTTTGTTTTTTGCTTTATGAAGAAACAACAATGCCCATCTTATTAAGAAACATTCTTCTAAAGATGAACTGCATGAAACAAGATCTTTTAAAAATGCAAGATTCTATAAAATATATAAACTATCCCAATTTCAATGTCTTTTCCTTGAAATTACTCAGCCTGATCCTTTTGCTCTGTCCAAGACTTCCTTTCTTATCCTCTTTCAGGGCTTATCTACACTATGGAGAAGTTTGATGCTGCCACAATCGATCTTCCAAGGTTTGAATTAGCGGCTCTAGTGAAGAAGCACTAATTCTAACTGAGACAGTTCCCCTGTAGGCGTGGGTAGTCACTTGTTCCTCACGAAGAGCAGGAAGCCAACATGAGCATTTGCTCCCGTTGACCTCCCACTGTGCGGATGGCATGAAAATGAGATTTAAGATGCGTTCACTTCAGCTACATAATTAACATAGCTGGAGTTGCGTATCTTAAGTTCATTTTCCCCTTTAGTGTAGACCAGGCCCCACAGGGAACATTAAGTCCACTTTCAGTTTCACAACCTCTCTCCCTATTAGACTTTCAATATCCAGCCTATGCCATGGCTTTCATCACCAAAAACTCTCAGAGGTCTGGGTTGTTGTATATTTCCTCTATGTTGATTCATCAAAACTTCCACATTCATGTAATTTTCCCCAAAGTTTCAAGAATGAGTAACAATGCACATATATTGTTTGTACTGTATCTAATGTGCCAGGAAACTATTTGGCCTTATCTGCACACAAAACTGTACAGTATACTCAAAAGCTAATTAGAGCAAGCCTTGTCCAAAATGAAAAACAAAAATCTTACAATCCAAGCCTGGAAAGACATTAATCTAAGTAATTCCATTACTTCTACGGGGCAAAGCTAGGTATTGTCCTCAACTTACACTCAAAACATAGTAACACTGGAATATTACTGCAGTGCAGGACCCTATCCATAACCATAAATTACCAGAAAAAAATCTGAAGTGAAACTAAAATAGAATAACAGAATTGAAATAGTGATAGAAATGTAGCCGTGTTAGTATGGGGTATATATGGTTGTGACTATTTTCTTCCACTATTTGATCTGAGGAAGTGGGTCTGACCCACGAAAGCTCATCATCTAATAAACCATCTTGTTAGTCTTTAAAGTGCTACATTGTCCTGCATTTTGCTTCAGAATTGAAATGTGATTCAGCAACATATTTAGCACACACCTATCATTAAGCACAAGTAGTACTAGTGAAGACAATGGATTTATTCATGTGCTTGAAGTTAAATACATGCTTAAGAACCTGGCTGACTTGGGGTATCCATGTGTGCATTTAGTTTTTAATTTGTTTTTAAGTTTATTAGTTTGTACTGTTGATTTAGAGACTGATTCTACCCTAACTGTAGTGATACAGCTCATCGAGTTTAATTACATTTGCATAATTTTTTTTTCTTAGCATGTTGTTACTTACGCAACTCTTAGGGTCTCTAGTCGCCATAGGGAACGAGCATGAATCGACACAGCACCACCTTCATAGTGGACAGTTCTGTAAATCAAACAAAGGCACATTCTGAGTGGAAAGCTCTAAAATCTCTTTTTAATTTACAATTTGTTCCATTACTTGAGGAGTTTTAATTTCAAAAACACCAAAATAATCCAGTTAACTATCTGTCATTCAACAGTTATGGTTACCAGACTCAAAAATAATTTTATCTCTTAAATGTTCTGATCCAATTGCTCATATACACTATTTTGTTATTTAAATGCACAATTTTATCAAGGCTTACATTTTATTATCAGATTTATAATCACATTCAAAAATTTAAATCAGCGTTGATCAGTCTGACAGAGGAAAAATAGAATACAAAGATTAAAGCATTGCGTAGTCCTCACAGCAAAATTCAACATTAAGATAGATATTTCAAAAGCAGAAGTAAAATGGTGGTGACTGCATTTCTCATAAAAACAACTGACTAATACAAAAATTACAAATGTGCAAATATACTTCTTTGGGGACAAAGATAAGTACCAACTAGAAGGTGTCAACAGGAAGCAAATAAAGCATTAGAGGAGTGATGTTAAAATATTAAAACTAAAGCTAAAAGGATTAAGATAGATATTTCAAAAGCAGAAGTAAAATGGTGGTGACTGCATTTCTCATAAAAACAACTGACTAATACAAAAATTACAAATGTGCAAATATACTTCTTTGGGGACAAAGATAAGTACCAACTAGAAGGTGTCAACAGGAAGCAAATAAAGCATTAGAGGAGTGATGTTAAAATATTAAAACTAAAGCTAAAAGGGAAAGTTGAATGAGGTTTCAAATGATATGAGAAAAATAAGTCAAAATAGAAGCAAAACATGTTATGTGCTAATTAAAAAAAATCCATGACCTAGATAGCTCCCTCCAATATCCATGCCCAGGCAGTCAGCACTCTGTGTATATCTATTTCATGAAAAGGTTTATGGGCAGTTCCTTAACATGGTGGGTGACATCCTGAGCCCATCAAGGTCAAAAAGCATTCTGTTGTTGATTTCAGTAGGGCCAGGATTAACACAGTAATGTGTTTTTAATGGGATTTTAGCTAAATTAGAAATGGGCTTTTAACCATTTGCTTGCTTCACCTATAATTGCACGGATTGTCACTACATTGCATTGGCACTGCTGTGGAGACAAACAATAGAGCTTGTTTTGGGAGTTCTTACTCAAGCAAAATTCCCACTGACTGTTACATTTTAATAAATGGATGGTTTGCTGAGTAAGGATTGGAATGGTAATTTAAGTAGCCATAGTCAATCCTTCAGCTGTCATGTTTTTATTGACTTGAAAAAAAATCTGTGACAACTTTACACAAGTTGAGATCTGGCCTTTATGTCTGGCAGTGGAGAAGGTTTCCTTTCCTTTTATTCCTCCTCAAGCAGAGATTGACATTGTTCCTTTTAGCACTGTTCTATTTATAAAAATGTATAAAGTACTTTAATGATGTGGATCATCCTACAGTCATTTTTCTTTATCAAATGTAAGCTACAGATATTAAAAAATTAAAGCTCCTTGATGTCAAGGCATATTGCTTCTTTAATATTATGAACCAGAACACAAGCAAAAGAAACTGTTACCATATTGCATTTGAACTTAAATTATTCCGAAATTTAGCTATGTCACTGTGTGGCATTTTCATACAGCTGTGGTTGGCTTAATACTTTCATACTGCATGAAAGACAACAGTACATCACAGTACTATTATTGATCACAAATCCTGATGTAAAGCTTGGAAAATTTTATCGTCCTAGAAAGCATTTGCAGTGGATCAAGGTTTCTCACCATCAAGTCCAATATTTTCTATATTTAATATTCTGAGACTCTTACTGGAATAACTTAGGATATCAACAAAAGCATGACGGGCCTCAAACAACCTCTCAGGCATCTCTGCAGAGGGAACTACAAGAGAAGTTAAAATTTTACACTTCTATTGAAATCAACCCTCAAGAGTGCAATAAACATTCTGAAAATCTGTGCTCTGCCTTTTGTTCTTTTTTTTGGCCAGAAACTACCATAGCAGAGGCTCTTTGCTGTGGCAGAGGCTGCTACAATATAACTATTCAACACCATATTAGTAGTCAGGCATTTGTTTAAAATTATAAAATTCTGATCATCCTCCTGCTTATTTTCCTGTAAAATGACCTGAAGTTTCACAAAATACCAACATTCAAGACTGATAATATATGTGGCTGGAATTCTCTCTTTTAGATAGAGAAAAAGATAAGATAAAAAGCTTGAACATTTGTTTTAGTAGATCTAAGGCCATTAAAATGTGTGTGAAATCAGTTAAATGTATGTGATATCCTGAAACCTGCTGGAGTAAAATTATTTCTGAAGTTGGAAGGCTTGAAATATGGCATTAATCTCATATTCCACGTGTGCTTTTTTGGCAGTGATCCAGGATGGAATATCTAGTGAATCCCAGACCAATGCAATTTAAAACACCTACAAAAATGCATGTAGTGAAACTGAAAGATTGGGTCCTCATTTGTTGAACGGATTTGTTTTATGTCAGCATACATTCTCTGTCTCCTCTTAAGATCATTCATAGATCCTGAGGGCCTAAACCATTGGCTGACCCACTAACGGGAAGGATGAGTCTTGAAATGCTCAGGTGGGAGGACTCTGAAAGCTAATCGGAGAGGAGAGCAGACTACATGACATGAAAGCTGGGAAATGTAAATACACTGTTTGGAACCTCCAACTGGAAAATAGTTTCTGGCACATTTCTGAGCCATTTTCTCTGAATGAATATGGTAGCATACAGTAATCTCTCTTTGTACTGTAGAGTGGTTATAAATAATGCTTTGCTGGACTGCAAAGTGAAACGGAATGCTTCTACCTTGAATGAACTGTGAACAAGGAACTCCATAATACTAAGAGCTAACCTCAGGGCACCATCTGCATTTAATAAGAAGAAAGCTCCACGATAGGCACAAACAAAAATAAATAATGGATTAGCAAGTAATGAAAGTGTATGCTATTAACACTACAAATATTGTTTCTCTGACCAATGTGAAATTCCAAACAAAGCAAAAAAAAAAACCTCTCAAAGCCAAGAATATTCCACAACCAGTCAATCTATTCAAGAAAAGGGGTAGTTTGCTATATGTACAGTAATAAACACTCAAAGTTCTTATATCTGGGATATTTATTTGGAATGTGAGGGTGATGAGTAGAAGTCCCCACTGGTCTAGGCACAAGAAAGAGAAAGAACAGATCCTATTCAACATATGTGTCATTTAAAAAATTACCTTGTCAATGCAGTGGTTGTTACCCCTAGCTCCCAGTCAATGGAGAGGAGAGGAGAGATGTCATTACTGTCCCTCTAGTTCCTCAGTATTCATTGAAATTCTACAGTCAGAGGCTCCCTCACTTCCTAAGTGCCTGCAGCAAGTTGCTACTCCAACCCATCCCATTGTGCCCAGATGTGGTGCTGTGGCAACTGCGCCTCAATTTCCTCTCCCAAACTCTCCTAGGGCCTCTCTCAGCCACAGGAGTCCCTGTCCCTCCAGCCAGACTACTTTACAGAGTTCTCTCTTTCTGGGGCCAAGAGTCCTTTACCAAAATACTCCATTAATATTTACATGATCCAAAGCTTTAACGTGTCTGGGCTCAGCTGCCAGTCACCTCACTGCAGGCATGCCTGTGTTGCTTTAGAATGTCCTTCTATCCCTCAATCCATCATATGATATTGGGGATGATCCAATTCTCCCTGTAGTCAGATATTCAGGGAGACTCCAACTAGTCCTCCAGCTAGCATCTAGTGAGGCCTATCTGGCCTTCTCCCCTTTTTCTTCCTCAGCCTTTCAGAAAGTTTGAGGTACCTCCAGATTTCCTCCTCCCAACTGGGCTCACCCAACTCTTTAGAAAAATGAGCCCTGATCTCCCCCAGATGGACTCTGCTTCTCATTACCTGGCCCTCCTTACTGGTACAAACAGGCAAGTTAATTGGATTCTCAGATCCATATTAATACTTCGACAGAATCAACTCATCACATACTGTTTGGTTTCAAGGAAGACAGAAGGAAATCTGTGCTATGGCAAGGTCCTTGCCCAGACCTCTTGCCTTGGGATCCCTTCTTGGGTCACTAATCAACCGAGGACTCTTTCTGGTGCAATCACCCATGACTTTTATTGTTAGTGCCAATTTCCCACCACCTTCTATTTACAGAGCTTTTTTTTCGCAGCATACTCAGCCAGCCTCTCCTTCTGGCTTGGGAGCATACACAGCCACTCTGTCTCCTCCTCCTTCACTTCCCCTCTGGATGCCATATGTAGCCCTCTGGCTAAATGAGGCCCACAGCTACTTCCATTAGCCCTTCAGGCCTGGGCTTGCTCAGCTGGCTGTAATTGGCCTAGCAGTCTGTACTGTAGTAGCAGAGCTCTGGCTTAGCCAGCAGTCTGTCACAGTGGCCAAACAAATTCTATTTCTTCCAAAGCAGATATAACTCTTCTTAAACACATAGTAGTATATAATATAAGAGACTACAACACAATCTTCACTTACATTAATGCAACTTTGCTGAAATCAACAAGGTTACACAGACAGTATTTGGCTTGAAACTGAGAATGGTAGAAAGATAACAGATTTGTGGGTTAACATGAAGCCTAATCTTCATTTGTTATCTTCTTTAAAGTGCTTTGCTTAGTTAACTGCTCTTAAATCCCCGGAAAATAACTATTCGAATTTACTTCATATCAAAATGGCTTTCAGTGTTGTTCCATTTGATATATCCCATTTCTACCATTTATTTAGTATTACTGAGGTTCAGGGTCCAAAATGAAGTGTTCCATTACATTTTAATCCTTACCAAATAAGATCCAGAAGTTTTACTACTAATCCTTAATAGCAGATGCCATAATTGGGTTAAAACACTCACTGCTCTGAGTTATAGCTGTGCATCTGTAATAGTTCCTTTGGCTACAAAGGATTTATTTCAGATTCATATTGGAATGATGGAAAAAACAAAAATACAATGTATTAAGTACAATAAAGATTC